TGTCTCTGTCTCTCTGTCTCATTCAGGGAAAAAAATTAAGATGAAAAAAAATCATAAGGAAGAGAAAATACATGTGGTATTTATTTATTTATCTTTTTTTGGGGGGAGAGGTTTTTGCTATAGGGCATGTGCGCTCGCCAGACAAAGAGAGACAGAGAGACAGAAAGCGAGAAATCACCCCCCAGGGGGGATGGCCACGCCGCAATCCCTTCTCCTCCATTCTCCTCTCGGGATCTTGGGCACGCACACACATGCGCCCGGCGTGAGTTTTAACCCACTGGGTCCGGGACACGAACCGCGGTCGACTACGTGGGAGTCCAGCGACATAGCCATTACGCTAACTGCTGGTCCCCCACATGTGGTATTTACTGAAAGAAATCTGAGCACAAGTGGATCCGCCTCATTCAAGCCCTGCTGTTCAAGAGCCAATCACAGTTAAGTCACACAGAGAACGGAAGGAAGTCCAAGCTTAGAGGTCAGGGCACCTTTCTTCCCATCAGCGAGGGACTGCTGTGGGAAGGGACAGAGGGACCACCTGGCACCCCAGGCACGAGGAGGCTGGTGGCATCTCCTGCAGTCTAAGGCACTAGTTAGGCTGAGCGCCCTGAGGCCCAGACCAGACGAGGCCGTTTCGCTGTGGCGCGGCTGCACCTGTCGCTGGGCAGTGGCCCAAAGCTGCACACCTGAAGCGTAGGCCTAAACTTCCGCAACCAATCCTGGGGGCGGGGGCTGGGGGGACAAGTCACTTAATATTAAAAACGAGAATGCCACGTGTCCAACCCACTGCAAGTCCGTATCGGGACAGCAAGCCAAAATATTGTAAAGCAGTGATGATAACAGCAGTAATGACGAGGCCTCGTTAAAACCAAAGGTGTGCCCAAAAGAGCGCCCAGGCAAACGGGGACGACAGAGTGCGGTCAGCCAGCCGGAGGCGCGGGCGTCGGCACCAGCCCGCACAGCTCTGGGTGAGAGGCGGCACCCACTGCCCGATGCCAGCACCCTCCCTGCAGCCCGGTTTCACTACCCTCTAACTGCCAGGACGGGAGTGGGGCCGGTGGCCCACTGTCCTCAGGGCCAGGATGGGAGTGGGGACCGGGACCCACTGCCCTCAGGGCCAGGACGAGAGTGAGGCCAGGGACCCGCTGCCCTCAGGGCCAGGACAGGAGTGGGGACAGGGACTCGCTGCCCTCCGGGCCAGGACGGGAGTGGGGACCGGGACTCGCTGCCTTCAGGGCCAGGACAAGAGTGGGGACCGGGACCCACTGCCCTCAGGGCCAGGACGAGAGTGACGC